ACACCCTGAGTAATTTTTGCTCGCGGCCGCAGGTGGTAGAAACGGGACTTGAGCTTATGTTTGACTCACTTCTAGCCCAAGAGCTCTGCGTTGAAGAATAGCTGTTTTTGTTCTGAAAAGATGGGTTTACGTCCTTCAAAGTAGCTAATTCTTAACGGTTCTCAAAGCAAGTAACATGGAAGGCCCTCTAGGCGCTGTCACGATGTCTCATTTAATCCTCACAATCCCCAAATTGTTATTTGCACTTTTTAGATAAAGTCTGAGAGGCTCGGAGTTTATGTAAATTTTTTTGGTAGGCGGCAGAGCCAGGATTAAGAAGTAAATCATCATCGGAAGCTCACAAAGGAAGCAAGAAGGAGCAGGGGGAAAGGGCAAGGAAGTTGAGACTGAAATGAGCGTGGAAAGAAAGAGGAGAGGTTTTTGTTTAAAGCTCAGGTCATATAATTGATTGTGTCATCATAAGCAATAAATAAATTTTTAAAAAGGAATGAAAAAGTACTAAATACTCAAAAAAAAAAAAAAAAGTTCAGGTCAGACGGTCCTCCACCTCTCTGAGCCCTTGAAGCAGCAACCCGATGACCAGGATCTTGTAATTTTCAGAAAGGATTCTTGATGACCTCCAAAGGCCTCCCACTCAGAAGATTTTTGTAGCACCTTTTGCTTACAGCAGGGCTGGCAAACTTTCTGTAAAGGGCCAAATAGTGAGGAGCTTCGCAAACCCACAGTGATCTCTTGTCTTATGTATATATTTTTGTCTTGTTCTGCATCTTTTTAAAAATGTAACAACTATTATTAGCTAGAGGCCCGTGGGTTGTAGTTTGGCTCATGACTTTTTTGTTACCTGTATTTGCAACAAAATAGTAAGGCAGAAATGTTATGTTTCTCACTATGGTGTACTTAGAGGGGAACTACACCGCCCACTGATTTTAGTAGCAAATACATGGATGCCCCTTACTCTGTGTGCCAGGTACTGTTCTAAGTGCTTTATATACATTAACTTAGTTATTCCTCAACAATCCTCTGAGGTAAGTACTGGAATTACCTACATCTTTAGATTCATTTTACTGATTTGTTTTGTTTTGTTTTGTTTTTGTTACTCCTCATCTGAGGATATTTTCCCTTTGATTTCTAGAAAGAGGGGAGAGACAGAGTTGCCTCCTCCATGGGCTCCACTGAGCCAAACTGCCTAGGGCTCTGAATCTTAATTCTAAAGCAGAGGCAAGGTTAAGTAACTCGCTTAAGGTCAGGGCATTACAGTGTGTCATTATTATTATTATTATTAAATACACTTTTATTGACTTGAGAGAGAGAGAAAAAGGAAGAGGGAGAGAGAAACATCCATCAGCTGCCACCTGCCCTCCTGGGGATCAAGCCCCAAACCAGGGCATGTGTCTTGACTGGGAATTGAACTGGTGACCTTTTGGTGTATGGAAGGACGCTCAACCAATTGAGCCCCACAGGCCAGGAACATTGTGTCTTAATGATATTGTAATCGTGAGCTGTTGGAGCCAATTTATCTTGTTTTCATTACTTGCCAGGCCCCTTCTTTCCTTCGTTCCCAGGTCCCTGCATCTTTCCATAGTTCCACATTCAGTAGAGCCTACTTTATCTTTAGGTCAAAATGTTTACTTCCTAAACCTTAGGGCAACTGACAGTAAGAGTCAGTCCTCCCATAGAATAGTTTGCTTAGTCCCTCTTTCTTTTCAAATATCTCCTTATTTATTAATTATTGATGGAATATATATCGTATGTAATTTTTTTTCAGAAACTACCGAAAAATCTAAAGAAAAATGCACTTATAATTCCACCACTCAGATAACAGTAACATTTTGATATGCATTTTTGAACATTTTTATAGTTTTACATATCTATATAAATATTCATATACATAAATTTTAAATAAAAATTATAGGTGCATAAAAATAAAATTATTATAAAAAAATTTAAGAAGGCAGGAGGATATAAAAATGAAAGCCTCTCTTTATCCCTCCCATGTATAGACTCGGCTTTTTTTTTTTTAAATACATTTTTATTGATTTCAGAGACAGGTAGAAGCATCAGTGATGAGAGAGAATCATTGATCTGCTGCCTCCTGCATGTCCCACACTGGGGGATCGAGCCCACCGACTGCAAATTGGGTCTGTGCCCTGGCTGCAAACCGAACCGTGATCTCCTGGTGCATAGGACCCACGCCTGTCAGGCTAGACTTAGCTTTATGGCTTTCTTTTCTCTCTTTCTGTGTCATATCAAGTCTTATTTTGCAGCTTGCTTTTTCATTTAATATATATTGTGGATATCTTTCCATGTCAGTACATAGATGTATATCATTGTGTTTTAATTTTATTTCCAAACTGCTGCACAGTATTTCATATTATAGGATAGCTTTTTTTTTTTTTTTTCATGTTTTCTTACTGCTATAGCTGGATGCCTTAGAAGGAAAGATTTGTGTTCCAGAATTCCAGGCGGAAGATTTGAATGTCGGGTTAACTATTCCCAAATCAATACCAGTGATCAAGGCAATACATGCATGGTTGTCTTAACATATTTTTAAAATTTGTATTGATTTCAGAGAGCAAGGGACAGAGAGAGATACAGAACATGCAGGATTGTTTCAGACCTTCATAATCTGAAACATTGACCTTGGCAAAGATAATTAAGTTATTCTGATTAGTTTAAACCCAGGAGTTGGGCTGGATTCCATCCCATGTAAACCACATATGGCAACTATACTAGTATAATGGGGTAAAGTGGATATTGGGGTGAAAAATCAGAGATTTCATTATAGAGTGTTTGTCTTATAACTTATAAAAATTCGTTATGAATATGAGTTTTAACCCTTTGTGTGTTTTACATGTTACAAATATTTTATCTGAATCTGTTGTTCTGCTTTTAACTTTTAGTGTCTTTTGCTGTGTAGATATTGTAAATGTGTATCTAATCAGATCCAGTAGTTAGTCTTCTCTCTGATGGTCTCTGCATTTTATGCTATTTGTTGGAAGCCTTTCCCCATCTAAGATTATAAAGAATATTCTGTAATAGCTTTGAGTACTTTTGTAGTTTAAAATAGATAGATATTTAGATTAGTCCATCTGGAATTTATTTGTACTTAAGGTGTGATTTATAGACCTAATTTTTCCCCCAAATGGTTAACCATTTCCCCAACAAATCTATTGAATAATTCATCTTCCACTTATTGAAATGTTATCCCTATTTTATAAACTAAATTCTCATGCACATGAGTATGCTTCTGAACTTGCTACATTCTATTCTGTTGACTAGTTTTATTTATTCCTGTGCCAGAATTACACTGCTGAATTACTGGTGTTTTATAGAAAGTTTTGATATCTATTAGTGTAAAGTCCCCCTTTTTCTTTATTGACATGTTCTTGATTATTTTTATGAATTTTATTTTATGATGAACTTTATTTAAGGAAATTTGTGTATCAGACTCATGTGACATCATATGTAGATTCTGGAAACAGTGGCGCCAATTCGTATCTCACTGGCTGGAGTCCCTTGAATACCCATCCCTAAGCTGATGAGCCTACAGCTTGGATTCCTTCATCTCTTCCCAAGTCACATATTTGGGGGAAAAAAAAAAAATAAAAAAAAAAAAAAATATATATATATATATATATATATATTTTAATAGCTTAATTTTTCTTTTTAAACATATTTTTATTGATTTTTTACAGAGAGGAAAGGGGAAGGATAGAGAGTTAGAAACATCAATGAGAGAGAAGCAGAGATCAGCTGCCTCTTGCACACCTCCCTCTCACTGGGGCTGTGCCCGCAACCAAGGTACATGTCCTTGACTGGAATCGAACCTGGGACTCTTTAGTCCCCAGGCTGACACTGAGCCAAACTGGCTAGGGCTATTTTTTCTTTTTTGAAGCCATAGGGTATCCTCTTTTTAGTATAACCAAAGACTTTTATGTTACCTACTAGTAGCCCTGCACACGAATCTGTGGGCCAGTAGCTCTCTGCAGGGCCTGGCCACTCTGCACCTGCTACCCGAGAGGCTCTCCATGCCCAGAGGCCCATCTGCAGTCCAGTATGGAATGCTTGCCTCGTCACCATGGCGACAAAGCAAGCATTCCACCAAGCTGCTCACGCTGCCGCTCTCAGGCCCTCCCACCTCCTCCCCAGGACTAGGGGACTCTGGCAGGGCAGAGAGGACTGGGCACCACCATCTTGTGGCTATGGGCACCGCCATCTTTTGTGATGGAGTGATGGTTAATTTGCATATTACTTTTATTAGATAGGATTATATTTGGGGTAATTAGGGGGTACAAATTACCCCATAATTTAGCAGCTTAAAGCAATAAAAATGTATTATCTCATTCAGTTTCTGGTGGCAAGTTCACTGCATTGTTCTAATGTAGAGCTTCTCATGAGATTATATGTTGGCCCAGGCTGTTGTCACCTGAAAGCTTGCCTGTGCTAGAGGATCCACTTCCAAGCGCACTCACATGGCTGTTGGCAGGAGGCAGCGGTTCCTCATCACGTGAGCCTCTTCATAGGGCTGGTGCAAGGGGAGACATGCCAGCTGGCTTCCCCCAAGCCAGTGATCTAAGAGAGTGACCGAGACTGAAGCTGCAGCATTTCCTACAGCCTAGTCTCAGAGTGGCATACCATCCCTTCTGACATTCTTTTGTTTACAAAGACCAGTTGTGGCACTGTGTGGGAGGTGACTATACAAAGGTTGAATTGTAAAATGTGGAGATTGTTTTATGGGGCATGGTATCTTAGAGGCTGGCTCCCACAGCCTTCATAGGCAAAACTTGCCAGTTTATTCTTTTCTTTTTTTTAGGTTAAAACATGTTTCAAAATTGAGAAGTATACAATGGCAAGTCTTTCTTATACCTGATCCCCTAGTTACTCAGTTTCCTTCCTTCCAGCAATCCTTTATTTTAACATATTATTTCTACTTCTAGGTATATTTTATATAGATACAAATAACCTTGGGTATATTTTTGTCCTTTTTTTCAGATTTCAAAATGACTTCCATCTTGACTTACACTTTTAAAAACCTTCCCAGTTCAACATGGGCCCTCAGGTTTTGTAAGTTTAATTTGTTCTTTCTTTTTTAGCATTAGATTTGGAATTATAAACATCTTACACAGACACCGATTGTATTGCGTTTTGTAAACACAGTATTTTGTCTTCCAGCTCTACGACCTTTGAGCTGCTCCTCCCAGCTACGAGCTGCCCCAGGTATAGTAATTTGTAAATAAACATTGCTGATTTAAATATTAGTTTTGAGATTTGTGAATTCTTAATGAAAACCAAAAGTAATTTCCTAGATTTCCCTCTTTTATGAGCAACATGACTATCATCATTGCCTTTCAATTCAAATAATATAAGGCCAATCAATAATGCTATAACATGGTGTAGGATTGGGCTCAAGAATGTTGAAAGGAAGCTGCTTTCTGGGTTTGAACCAATGGAGTCATGGAGATTCCATGAACCTTGCTGATCAATTTATTCACCTACTGGCTGTCCGTCCTAGAGATGATTAGCTAACACTCTTGAGACTGTTATAGAGCTAAAAGCTAACATTTTAAATCTGCAATTAGCGACAGGCTTCTCTATTAGTGCATATCTTCTTGTCCCATATACAAGAGAAACCATTCCTGGAACAGGGGTAACTGGGAAACTAGTAAATAGAAGATTGTTTGGTCAATATCAAATGAAGAAGTAAGAAAATTGGTTGCTTATACATGGTCATTTAGACCCTTGGTAAATCCAATGCTAAAAAAATATCCTGACAAATTCATACTATTATTCTCCTTGCCAGGTTCTGAGTCAACCTATGACTTCTGATTTTGGTTTTAGTATGGTATTTCTACTTGGATGATAGCTTAATAGAAAAAGCTCCTTAGAAAAATTCAGGAGACCTCTGCTCTCTTTCAGTTCTACCTCTTTCTGGCAGTGTGGCCTTGAACTGGTCACTTTACTTCCTTGTGTTTTAGTAAGAACAATAATTTTACTTTAGTCAATATGACCAAGTCTCCTTATTTTAGCTGATGTCTAACATTCCCCAGCATGTTTTTAAGTTAGTGATTGCTTATTCAATATGCGAAAAGAAAAACAGGACTAATGTTTCATTTAGTTTGAATGCAGTTGCTCAAGTCCATCATCAGCTTTTGAACAGACTGGTAAACTGTAAGCTACAATTTTGGGGCAGTAAAGAGCCTGCTTCTTCCTCATGGCATCCTTTTCACTTCAACTAATTAGCATTTCTCACTATGCCTTTTTGCTTAGATTCCTAAGAGAAAGAACCTGACTGGCACAGCTTATCACTTATAGGTAGATGACATGGGTTACTGGCTGACTACTCTGTGGATGGGCCTGTTACCCATCCTAAATCTAATCATCTTTGGCTATGGACTTAGGAACATGGTGTGCATGGCTATCCCTGGCAGGGACTGTAAGTAGGACAGCACCATTTAGAGAAGGCACTGGGTGAGCAGGCACTTCAAAATATGTCTCTGCTTTGCTTCTGCGTTCTACACTGCAAATATCTCATAGCTATCCCATCTACACCTCACTTTTCTTCAAGCTTTAGTTTTGCATCTCTAGCTACCTGTCAAATGGACATAGCCACTTGGATGTCTCTCCATCACCTTAAAGGTAGCACGTTTAAACATGGAATCATCTTTCTTTCAAAACTAGTTCTTACTCTGCCTAGAATAGCTAGGTTTTCTCAGTCTCTAAGGTTTACAATCCTGTTTTCTTTCTATATCTGATTGGTCATTAAGATAACTTCCTTTATAAAATCTCTTGTATTGACCCCTTCTTTTCCATTCACATTGGTATTGCTTTTATCCTGGCCTAAGTATCTGTGCTTGAGTTTCCTACAGTCTCCTCAGTCATCTCCCTGTTGCCTTTATCTCCCTTACCAGCACATCTCCATTAGAGCTGTCAGGAGAATCTTTATACCCCAGTTTCTTGCGACCCTTAGTTTTGACTACTATTTCCTTCCATTTGGTTGTAGATATTTATCATAAATAGTTCTCTTTGATACTAGTGGGTGTGTTAAGGTGATTGCTAACATTTTATTCCCAGTAATTTAGAAATTTTCTCTATCTCTGATAATGAAGAAGTGATGATAGCAGGTGAATTTCAGTATAACAACAAAAGAATGAGATAGCTTTGGATCAACACAAAAAGATTGTCAAGCTTGCCGAAACCGGTTTGGCTCAGTGGTAGAGCATCAGTCTGTGGACTGAAAGGTCCCAGGTTCGATTCCGGTCAGGGGCATATATGTTGGTTGCGGGCACATCCACGGTAGGTGGTGTGCAAGAGGCAGCTGGTTGATGTTTCTCTCTCATCGACATTTCTAGCCCTCTATCTCTCTTCCTTCCTCTCTGTAAAAAATCAATAAAATATATTTTTTAAAAAAAAGATTGTCAAGCTATATTAAGTCAGAAAAATATACATAATATAAGTATGTACATGTATATGAATTAAAAGTACAAAAGTTTGAAAGAATATACACCAAGTTAATAGCATTTACTTCTGGGAAGGAAATAATTTGGTGGAAGAGGGCATAAAGAGGTTTAACTCTCCATATTTTAGTATGGTTCACTTTTGTTTTGTTTTTTTACCTTAGCATGTATTCATATTTTATTTTTTAATTAAATTAGAGGAAGGTCACTGTTTTGATGATAGAAAATAATTAGACAGTTTGAGTCAAACAGAATCAGGAAGCATTTAGGTTTTTGCAGAGTGACAATAGTCATCAGCAAATGGTCTTTGTTTCTACATAGAAAAGAAGAATATTAAGATATGTAAAGAGAAATAACATCACTTATTTTGACTTCTAATATTAAGGACAGGCTTATGTGTCACATTGGTTGCTGTCAGTGTAATATTTTGTCAAATACTTGATTAAAAATAAATTTATTAATGGATAAATACTCTCACGATTAGGTATAATCTCTATTTACCTTAAATATTTGGATTTATATTATAAAAAATATATTATTTGCCTTAAATATATTGTAATGTTAGTTTCTTAGCCTTTACACACACACACAAGGTTTAGTGAATGACACTGAATGATGTACTTCTTAAAATGTCTATCTTTAAAAATGTAAGTCAGCTGACTTCATGTATGTTAATTAATTAATAGTTCTTTGTACTTTGTTTTAAAGCTGTTCAGACTAGTACGAAGAAAACCTTGGCAAAACCCAACGTGAGAAATATCGTGGTGGTGGAGGGTGTTCGCATTCCATTTTTGCTGTCAGGCACTTCGTAAGTATGAAATGATTGTATGTCACCCCGACCCCCATCTTTATGGACACTTAAAAACGGTATCAATTTAAGTTGTAATTTTTAAAAAGGTATACAATGAGATAATTTAATATACATTGTGAAATGATTACCACAATCAAGTTAACAGATCTGTCATTCCACATAGTTCATGTATTCCTTAAAAGTGGTCTTTGCCCAGCCAGTGTGGCTCTGTGGTTGAATGTCAACCAATGTCAACCAGGAGGTCCAAGTTCAATTCCCAGTTAGGGCATATGCCCGGGTTGTTGGCTCAATCCCCAGTGCAGGGCATGCAGGAGGCAGCTGAACAGTGATTCTCTCCTCAGTGTTTCTCTCTCCTTCTCTCTCCCTTCCTCTCTGAAGTCAATAAAAAAATATGTATTTTAAAAAGTGGTCTTTGTAAATGTAACCCAGTAGGTTATATTGTTGTTAGTGGTCTACTTAATATAGAGATAACATTTTCAGAAATTAATACAAATAAGTCAAGCCACTGGTGAAGAAATATGGCAAATTTGTTTTTCATCCTTTCTCATGAACAAGCCTCGTGTATTGTTAGATGGAACTAGCCTATGAAAACCTAGTGTGGGTCCAGATAGCTTGCTTCTAGCAGAGATATCCTTTCCTGTCTGGAGATTAGTACATTATTTCTGTGCCTCTTCAGAAATTTGAGTACTGAGGATGTGGGACCGTGGGCCTTCTGAAGGGCCTTTAATCCACTGCTTTGGCCTCTCGGAAATTATCAGAATTGGAGTCAATGGGCTGGTCCAAACCTCAACTTAGCACAACCCCAAGAAGATAGAACCAGAATGGTACTAGACCAGCCCGGAAACTGGCAAAGACCACTTTAGCCAAGTGATCAAGTTTAACATCGACATTAATGTCATATTGATAGTATGTACACCCTGATATGAAGTAATAAGAAGAGCACATTACCTCGGTGATATTCTTTCCCTAAATCCATAACCCTAATCTTCAAGTGTCGAGGTCATGAAAGATCAGGAAGATTGAGAAACTATCACAGATTGGAGGAGACTAAGGAGGCATGAAAACAAAATGCACGGATTAGATTCTGGGACAGAACAGTAAAAAGGTGCTAGTGAGATCCAGATAAAGTTAGTATCTTAGTGATTGTATTGTGCCAATGTTAATTTTTTAGTTTTGACAAATGCTTCATGGTTATATATTTAGGATATTAGGGAAAGAGGAGTAAAGGGTACACTGGACCTCTTTCCTATTTCCTTTTTTTTTTTTTTTTTTTTTTTGTAAATCTCAAATTACTTCAAAATAAAAAGTTTCTTAAAATGTCCTAATATATCCTTCATGTCCCTTTAGGCGTCAATCAATCAATCAATACTATATTTTTAAAAAGGAGAACTCAAAAGATGGGATTTAAAGAGTATTTAACACATGTTATGCTGAATAATAAGATATTGGGTGAAATTTTGTTAGATTCTTAGCCAGCTCAGTCTTAGTTAAGGCTTGCCAAATATTTAATGATGACAAATAGTAAAAATCACACTGTTTCTCCATTAGAAATGATGGACTGCCTAAGATAATAAAGTTAAATGCATCTGCAGTGGCATATGTTAGAAGATCTTTTTAGATATTTCAAATAAAATGAAAAATAAATCAGTAAAAGTCTAGGCTTTGGGTTTAAATTATTTATTGTCTTTCCCCAGATATAAAGACCTGATGCCACATGATTTGGCTAGAGCAGCACTTTCGTAAGTAAATGCAGTTTCATTAAAGCACCTTTTTCCAGTTTTCACACTTGAAATAGCATGTTTAAGAGAATTTCCTTATCGAGGCTCTATTGACTTTCATGTGGTCATAATAGAAAACACTCCATTCCCATCAAGATTCATTTATTCTTGATTTTAGTCATATGTGCTGCACAAATTCAAGCAGCTGATGGATGTAAGGCATTATCTCATTCATTTTCCATTGATGCTTTGCCTTTGTGTCTTCAGCCAGCCACCTTTCATTTGACCTTTCTGCCCATCTATTCTGATTCTTTTCTTCCTGCCAGACTTTCAAATGAATGAAAGTACCCGGCCGGTGTGGCTCAATGATTGAGCATCAACATATATACCAGGAATTCAGGGTTCAGTTCTTGATCAGGGCACATGTCCAGGTTACAGGCTTGATCCTCAGTGTAGGGCATGCAAGAGGCAGCTGATCAATGGTTCCCTCTCACTGATGTTTCTCTTTTCCTCTTCCTTCCTCTCTGAAATCAATAAAAGTATATTTTAAAAAAATAAAAGAATGAATGAAAGCAATAATTGCTTCTCTTTTTCTACTATTCCATTTATTCTCCTTAATCTCATAATCATTTCCATTCCCATTAATCTACAGTAATTATATTTTGGAAACTTCTAATACTAATGACTTTGTGATCATGAAATGCACCAATCTTTTCTGAGGCATCACTCTCTTTATATTCTACTAGCAGCCCTGTGCATGAATCCATGCGCCAATAGGTTACTACAGCCCTCCTGTAGCTTCCTTCCCCCTCACCCCCATAGCTTGCTGCCCTGCCCGATCCTGTAGCTCTCTGCTGCCCACTTGTAGTTTGCTGCCCCACCCCCCTGCAGATCCAGCCCTTGCAAGGTCATTACGCCTCACAGCATAATGGATAATTAGCATATTCCTCTCTTATTATATAGGATAGCATTTAACACTACCACTTGAAATTGTCTTTTTTTGACATCTTAATATTATGTCTTTGATTTCCTTTCCATCTCCTGACAGATTCTTCTCTATTTTTTTTAAAAAATCTAGAATTCTTCCTCTCTTTTAAAGTGTTTTGCAAATTTCAATCCTTAGAGCTTTGCATGTCTCTGCATACATGTTTTTCTTAAATATCTCATCTCTTTAATCTTTATTGTTTTATTTAGAGAATTCACAAATCTCTAAATTTGACCTTTCTTTGCTACCTCAGGCTCAACATACCAAAAATAAAAATGATCTTTTCCAGATTATTTTTCTATTTCTATTATGGTCCCAGGCTGGAATTTGTAAGCTTTTCCTCAACTTTTTATTTAAAAAAATGTCAAATACACAATAAAATTGAAAGAACTGTATGTATTGTATATTATTTAAATCCTGTACTTATATTGATATTTAGATTTAATATACCTGGATTTTACTTCTTTTTTATTTTATATTTGTCTTTTTTGACTGAAAACTTGGTTCCCAACATTGCTGTTTTATTTTATTCCATATTAGTTTTCATTCTCTTTGTATAACTTTTCATTGCCAGTTGACTTTTTAAATCACTCTTTCATTCATTTCTTCTTTGATAAGGTGCCAGCCACATGCTTGTAAAATTAAGGAAAAGATACAGTTTCTGCCCTTTTAAACTCAAGTTAATCTTTTGAAAAAAGTGCAGTGTTTTAAATGATCTATCACACTACCTTGATGTGTTAACTATTTCTTTGCTTTGGAATGATTCTGCTCTCAGGAGTTTATTGATTAAGACCAATGTCCCAAAGGAAGTTGTTGATTATATCATCTTTGGCACAGTTATACAGGAAGTGAAAACAAGCAATGTGGCTAGAGAGGTGAGTAAAACAAACTTTATGTTGTTTAAAGAGATTGATATGAGAATTAATTTGTATTTCAACTAATAAAATTTACTCTTTAAAAGCTATTAAAATCCATTAAGTAAAGTTATATTTGACTTATAATGTGATTTTATAACTTGAATAATGGATATTATTTAATATTTAAAAGAATCTATAATAATAATAGCATAGAGCCGAAGCCGGTTTGGCTCAGTGGTAGAGTGTTGGGTCTGCGGACTGAAAGGTCCCAGGTTCGATTCTGGTCAAGGGCATGTACATTGATTGTGGGCACATCCCCGGTAGGGGGTGTGCAAGAGGCAGCTGGTCGATATTTCTCTCTCATCGACGTTTCTAGCTCTCTATCTCTCTCCCTTCCTCTCTGTAAAAAAAAAAATCAATAAAATATATTAAAAATAATAATAATAAGAATAATAGCATAATATGCTAATTAGGCCAGACAGCCGAATGACCTGGATGAAGACTGGGCTGCCGCTGCGGCTGCAAAAGCTGAGGGCAGCACCGTGGTTGCAAGGGCCGAGCCCCTTGCATGAATTTCATGCCTCAGGCCTCTAGTTATTGTATAAATCAAATGATGTACACTGTAGTCTAGTAGTATATATTTATATTATACAAAAATCAAATCACTTGAGCTGGTTTGGGAATATATATTATGGCAGAGTGTGGCTGATGTGAGTTTTAATAATGTTAGAGCATGGCTTCTAATTAACTTAAAATTTTAACATTTTGCAAATAACTTGTCTGATAACATGGTTTTTGTTAGGGTAGCCTTGCTTATTCATTCTTTTTTCCATTGACTAGATGATACGTAGGAGTGTTTAAAAAGAAAACTATTTCACAGGCGTTTGCTTTTACCCTAGTTGGCATGACTCCATGCTTATTGAGTAACCCAGAGAATGGAATTTGTGTGACATGTCTAACAGGTCTTTGAGCTCCCTGATTTGACAGTGCTCATTTGGGTGATTCCAAAGCACATTTCAGTGTGCTAACCATTTTCTTTACTTCTAGGCTCTGCCTGCTATCCTATTGTGTTCAGTATATTATAGTTGTAAGGCCAATCACTTCATCACTGTCACCCCCAGAGAACAGGAAAAGGGCAGGACTGCAGTATTTGTTCTGCCTCGCCTTTTCGCCTGTCAGTAAAGCTGTAACTATTGAGGGCCTGACGTTACTGCAGCCCACAAAAATCAACTGTTGGTTGTCAAGAAAGAAGTAAGAACAGGAAGAGGTTAAGAGGTTGTTGTTTTGTCCCCCTCCTCTGGTTTTTATGTTTTTCCCAGCCTTCACATTTTTAAATATATTGAGTATGATAATTTCATTAGTACACCGAGATGTTCATAATACATTTCATCTTGTATATCCTCACAAAAAACGAGGTGACTCCTATAAGAGCACTTAAAAAATAAATATTAAAACTGTAACCTTTGCCATGGCTGCAGGGAAAGATTGAGATGAGACATGTAACCTAACAGATATGTAAGGTTAGGTTACAGATATATAACCTAACAGCCAACATAACTTCAAGCTAGAGGATTTCTTTTCTTTTTTTTCTTTTTTTTTAAAATATATTTTATTGATTTTTAACAGAGAGAAAGGGAGAGAGATAAAGAGCTAGAAACGTCAATGAGAGAGAAACATCAACCAGCTGCCTCTTGCACACCCCCTACCGGGGATGTGCCCGCAACCAATGTACATGCCCCTGACCGGAATCGAACCTGGGACCTTTCAGTCCGCAGACTGACGCTCTACCACTGAGCCAAACCGGTTTCGGCTAGAGGATTTCTTTAGCACCGGTTGTCTGTATTAACAAAATTAATATGAAATCCTAAAAAGCTCTGTGCTGAGTTCACATGAGCCTGACTTGACTGAAGCTCCCCAACTTAACTAGCAAGCACCCAGCTCCTTCGTGTACTCTTCTAGAGCCTAAGCTTGCTGTCAGAGCTATTTAAACTTTAAATAGAAGGAGCATGTGGACAAGGCTCACCAGCAACCACTTCTATTTACAGCTCCTTCAGTCCGGAGAGGCAGCTGGGGCCAAGGGTATTGCACATGCTAGAAAGGACCTCGTGAGCATGGCTGTTATGACCTGAGTGCCCTTTACACTTGCCCCACTAGGGCGTTCTCCCCCGCCCCTGAAGGGCTGCCTCTCTTTATTTTGGATTGGTTTACATGGAGAAGTTCATGTGCAGTTGGCAAGTAGTTTCCAGCAAAGTAGCTTGGGCACTTAGTATCAGGCCTATCTGGAAAGACCAGAATAAGATCATGTTGCATGTATACTACTGTAGCATATTTATATTTCGATAGATTATGGTAAATACTGTTCAGATAGTGTAAATATAAAGGAAGATAACATTGAACCTCTTTAATCTAGACTTTGAAAACATGTTTATTTTACCAAATTATAGGAGAGCTTGGATTCTGATGATCATTAAATAGTTTCAGAAAAAGACCACTAAAAATGAATTTCCTGAATGGAAACGAGAATTTCATAGTAAATGGTGGTAGGAAGAGGGGGGAAGAGGGGAGTTGAGAGTGCTATTTTTATAATGAAACTTTAATTATAAAAATAAGTATTGTATTGTATGTATGCATTAATTCTTTACATAAACAGTGGAATCTGGCATTGATTGGTTTATTGGCAGCCTAGTATCCTTAATAATACCTCTCACCCTCTCCCTTCCTTTCTAAAATAATAGATGTGTCCATTTCATGTTTAACTTTACTGTGCCATCATAACAGAGGCCATTTTTTCAAAATTCACAGAGAGTCTCAGTTTTTCTCAAAGTCCCTCAAATTGCTTTTCAAGCATCTATTGTATCATCATCCTGGCCAGTTTTCTCTTTTCCAGTTATTAACTGGTCTACCCTTATTTGTTAGAGGCTCACTGTGGCTAAGGCAGTTTTTCAAAGTTCCTTTAATCGACTTGAACTCCTGCATATTTGGCAAGTTTTTCCATTTGACTTTGCATTGAATCTACAGAGTGCCGTCTGAAGTATCAGTCAGTGAGCGGGACTGGCTGACAGTGAGTGGAGACGAGTGTAAAGTGGGCAGGGGTGTAGTGAGAACTGTTTATGAGCAGTCAGTTCTTTAGAACTTATTTTTGTGTTTGAGGAGCCCACCCAATGATACATATGATGTGATATATGTTTTTAACAGTTTTATTTAAAAATTTAAATACATTGAAATCAAATTATGTATTGATATCTTTAAGGGCTCTGAGCAAAGCATGGCTAAGAAATTGGGTGAGATGTAGATTTGTACATCATACTGGAAATTAACTACCAAGAATTTTGCAGAGCGATTGTCAATTAATAGCTAGATGAAAAATGAGTAAAACATTTCTGTGATGGGTTTAGTTTTATTTTAAATATTACTGTGTAGAATATTAAACTCAAACCCTTTCCCGATTCACCACACAGAGAAGTAACACTCAAAATGTCATTTCCCTGTAACATGATTTCACTCATTGTTTCTGAAGGCTGCCCTTGGAGCTGGCTTCTCTGACAAGACTCCTGCTCACACTGTCACCATGGCTTGCATCTCTGCCAATCAAGCCATGACCACAGGTATGTTTTTCTGAAAGAAGAAGGTACATGGTAATTTGGGTTTGTCTTTTATTTGATCATTGGGCACATACCTGGGTTGCAGGCTTGATTTCCTGGTGTGTGGGAGGCAGTCGATCAATGTCTTTCATCAATATTTCTGTCTCTCTCTCTCTCTCTCTCTCTCAAATCAATACAAATATATATATATTTTAAAAATCATCTTAATTCTTCTGAAAAGATAAAAACTTCAATTACAGATGTTGTACAATGCTATTGACTCTCATACAACTTTTAAATCTGGAAGCTTAAATTATCGGTGGCTGTTAATTTCTGCAAAATATGTTCATTTGCATTGACTTGTGCCGTAGGTGTTGGTTTGATTGCTTCTGGCCAGTCTGACGTAATTGTGGCAGGTGGTGTAGAGTTAATGTCTGACGTCCCTATTCGTCATTCAAGGAAAATGAGGAAAATGATGCTTGATCTCAATAAAGCCAAGACTCTGGGTCAACGATTATCACTAATCTCCAAATTCAGATTGAATTTCCTAACACCTGAGGTAAGACTTGCGAACTTTTACATAAAGACTTGTGTTTCCAAAGCATCCCACTGCAGAGATTTAGAATTAGATATGACAGCCTGGCTTCAGTTATGCTCTAATAGTTACAGGGCATGGTTAACTGTTCGGTTAAGGTGTGGGAAAAAGATAGTGGTTGGAAAATTTGAATTTGTAAGCCCTCTTTAAGAGATCTCTGAAAACATAGAGCTTCTTTTGTCTTGGTCTTGATTGAAAGATTTTAACTTTCCCAAATAACCACCTGTGTGGAATAACACCTGTTAACAGTGCACCCGGTTCTGTGTGTCTCCTTTCCCAGCTCCCTGCAGTGGCCGAGTTCTCCACCAGTGAGACCATGGGCCACTCTGCAGACCGACTGGCTGCTTCCTTTGCTGTTTCTCGGCTGGAACAGGACGAGTATGCACTGCGCTCGCATAAGCTGGCCAAGAAGGCACAGGATGAAGGACTCCTTTCTGATGTTGTGCCCTTCAAAGTACCAGGTAAACCAGCTTGCTGTACACTGTAAAGGGGCTGCTTCATTACACTTGTTAGGGTGGTGTGAATGGCTCCTAAAACTCCATGTAAAGGGGACTGCTTCGAGATACTTGTAAGGGGGGTCTGAAATTGCTTTAAAACTCCAAAAACCCCAAGTTACTTTTCAGTATTTTGGTTCTGTTTCCAAAATACTCACCCTTCTATGCATAAGCAGGGACTCAAGTTTTAATTTATGTGTAAGAGTAGGTAAACATTTTAAAGAGAAGTTTTTAAAAGAGTTTCCTTCTACATCTTCCTGATATATTTTAGTTCTTAGGTATATACCTATTTTTGAAATTCTTTGTTCATATGATTTCTGTACACAATAGCCAAATGTGAATGTATATCTTAAGAAAATAGTGTTTCTTTTGTTAAATTATTTAGACTTCTCCCCCAAACATCTGAAGAATTTAGTTTAAAATTTGATAATCTTGATAACTATACCTATAAAAAAGCTTTCTTTTTAGTGAATTGGTATGGTTTGCATTTCATTTGTTCTTGTGACTTTTTAAGGCATTTTCCTCTAGAGAAGATATTAATGCTTGTAGTTTCCTAGAGTTAAAAAGTTTGTCTTTATAGGAAAAGAAACAGTTACCAAAGATAATGGCATCCGACCCTCCTCCCTGGAGCAGATGGCCAAACTGAAACCTGCGTTCGTCAAGCCCTATGGCACAGTGACCGCTGCCAACTCCTCTTTCCTGGTGAGTGCTATATGTGTTTGCCAGTGACTTTTATGTGTGTCTCTCTCTCTCTCTCTCTCTCTCTCTCTCTCTCTCTCTCTCTCTCTCTCTCTCTGTCTCTAGATAGAGAGAAATTATTTCCAAACAATCCATTTTTGTTCCACCCATTTATGCATTCATCGGTTGAGTCCTATATATGTTCTGACCAGGGATCGAACGTGGCACATTGGGATGATAATCCAACCAGAGTTGCCCAGCCAGGGCTTATGTTTGTGTACTCTCAATGGAAAAGCCGAATGTAGACCTAACTGCTTATATTAGTAATAGAGGCTTAAAAGGTATTTATTAAAATGATTGTTAAAATGGAATCAGAATTTTTTAGGCCTTAGAAATCATCTGATCCAGCCACCATTCTGATACAAAAAGCTGTTCTCTTCAAACACTTAACCAGTCAGAAAGTGTTGATTGCCTATGCTAGGCACTGGAGATAAAAGAACAGGTGATTGTAAAAATGAAGTTACAAAATTTTTATTCAGACGTTTCTTACATATTGGCTAGGCTGCAAAAATATTTGTTGTGGACCACATGTGGCCTACGGGCTGTGAGTTTGACATGCTTAGTCTAGGAGAGGGCACCTACGGTAGTTCCAACAGTATGGTGCACCACCCTGTTAAGCCTGAGTGGTGAAAGGCTGGTGAGGTGGTCATTTCCAAAACCAAACTGGATATGACAGGGCCATGTGGCATGGGTTACACTCTTGCCAGATCTGATTCTTTTCATCATATAACGTATTTATTTTTACATAGAATCACCATATAACACCTAAGTAGAAGAATATCACCTAAAAGCTACTGGCAGGAAGCAGTTTTGTTATATAGAATCACCATATAACTATTTATTGGTTACTTCTGGAATGTGCTGGTCTCTACTGAAAATCAGAAACACAAATCATCAGAGATAATACATCATTAGATGGTTTCTAGAAATGTGTTAATGTAATACATTTATTGTAATTTTGCCCAGTAGTGCATTAAACATATTGTTAATTTAATGTCCAAAACTATATAGTATAGTAAACTATATTTCCAGACTCCGTGGCTACTGATGTTGCCTACATAGTCTTCTTTAGAGATATAACAATACTACAGACCCAGTACACGTATTCATGCACTAGTGGGGTCCCTTGGCCTGGCCTGCGCCCTTTCACAATCCAGGACCCCTTGGGGGAAGTCCCAGAGCCAGTTTCGGCCCCATCCCCACAGGCCAGGCTGAGGGACCCCACTGGTGCATGAATGTGTGCACCAGGCCTCTAATATGCATATACGATCTTCAGTTAATCTCTTCCCCCCTTTCCCACTCCCCCCTTTTCTCTGAGATTCATCAGTCTGTTCTATGTTTTTATGCCTATGCATTGAGCATCTGCCCCCTGGTGGTCCATACATGTATGGCTACCTGTTTAATTATCGCTTAGACTTTTATATATATGGATGGTAGAATGTGGTAGAAATTGTTTTTATTTTGAAACTCTACAGAGTAGTTTCTTTTTCTCTGGAATTTTGGTGTTTTTGTATTTTAGCTCTTTTGAAGTCAAGCTCTTTTGAAGTCATGGTAAAGAGCTTTTTTCAGTGGTTACTCTGTTCCCCAACTTAGCAGTTGGGAAAAAGCATATGGGGTGTGTTCATTGAGAGAAGACTGTGGTTCTGATATTCTTAGCCTGCCTGGTTTGCTTGTTTGGAAACTATTGGTTTGCTTGTTTTGGAAACTATTAGTAGAAGAATATCACCTAAAAGCTACTGGCAGGAAGCAGCTTAGAAACAGTCCAGAAAATGTAAAAATAAATACGTAAATCAGAGATTGTTTTATGCATAAAATTTCTCATATTCTGTGCCAAAAGCAAAAATTTTTTGGTTTAAGTTTATTATGAATACATTTTTCTAAACATGTATATATTTATACATATTTTCTTTGCCTGTTTTGGTAATTATGGTACTTTTTGAATGTCTTCCAAAAATGGGTCAAACACTGTAATGTGGGTGTTTGAATGAATTGTGATTTAATGATGGATAAAATGAAAAGGTTTTGTTATATAGAATCACCATATAACTATAATTAGTTGGTAGATTCATAAAAGGATATAGTAAGTCCTATAGACAGGCTGAAGAATTTAACATTATTGTTCTGATTAACATTTTAGACCGATGGTGCATCTGCAATGCTTATTATGGCAGAGGACAAAGCTCTGGCCATGGGCTATAAGCCAAAGGCATATTTGAGGTAAAGTAAATGTTTAAATGAATTACCTCTGGTTTCTTCATGTTATTACTGGAGCTAACCTCTCTATTTTTTACCTAGGGATTTTGTGTATGTGTCTCAAGATCCAAAAGATCAACTTTTACTTGGGTAGGTGGCAATGTATAAATCTTTGGACTATAATCAAAAGTATTTGATTACCCATATTTATTACACAGATTTTAAACTATGTTAAGTACTGAGTTCATAATTGGTTTGTGTGTTTGATTTTTTTTTTTTTTATTGTCTAAAGTTTTACATATGTCTCCTTTTTCCCCAATTGACCAACCCCCCCTAGCCATTCCCATCCCGGGCAAGCCCCCACCGCTCCAGTGTCTGTGTCCATCGGTTATGCTAATATGCATGCATGCAAGTCCTTTGGTTGCTCTCTAACCTACCCTCCCCTACTATGTGTTGGATTTTAAAAAATAATAATAATCCTCTATATTGGTATAGCATTTTATACTTGATCTTAACAAGAAGCCAAGAAGCAATGTTGGTATATCACTTTATAGTTTTGAATTCTTTTCCACTTGTTCCTATAATTTCTTCGTGTGTGTGTGTGTGTGTGTGTGTTTTCATATTGCTACATACTGTGCTGTACAATCTTCAAAAGAGCTTTTTATGAAAAGCCTCCTCATTTTAGAATACTCCCTCCCTCATAAGACTACCTAATTGTCCTCCATTATGTCCTTCAAACTAGCCATGCCCTTTCCTATGCTTTGCCTTTTGAACTCTGTCCTAGCTCTTCACAATATTAGTTCATCTTTCTCTTTCATTGTGTGTTTATTACCCATTTCCCTGACTGGAATATAAATTGCATGGGGTAGAGGCATGACTATTCGGTGCACTGTTATAGCTCCAGCACTTAATTAATATTTGTACAGTAGAGTCCATGGGCCAGTGGAGATATTCTCAGACCTATGTAAACTCTGTTTGGGGAGTATGAAGGAGCTCATAGGTTGAAAGTTAAAGTTTTAACATACTGCTTATTTTTTTTCTTTTCAGGCCAACATATGCTACTCCAAAAGTTCTAGAAAAGGCAGGATTAACACTGAAGGATATTGATGCTTTTGAATTTCATGAAGCTTTCTCAGTAAGTCATTTAAAGAATTATAATAATAAAATGGCCATTGTGGGAGAGAGCATGGCATGGTTTATAATATGAGTAAAATGAAGCAGAGCTTTATCTCTGCAGTACCAGCTTACACTGCTGGCAGAGGTGCCAGGGGAGAGAATCCAGGGCCACAGGTACAGAAAGACCTACCTTTTGAGGCTTTCCCTTAAAGGACCTTCAAAAGTATTAGATTTTTTCTTCAGGAAATTTTCAGAGAAAACTGATTTTAAAATTTGCTCACCTTTAAAGTTAGATAACTCATGTGTAAAAGAAAGCCTCAAGAGACATTAATAACAAGGTCCTATTGAATTCTTTTCCCTTCTAGGGTCAGATTTTGGCTAACTTTAAAGCCATGGATTCTGATTGGTTTGCACAAAACTACATGGGTAGAAAAGCCAAGGTAAGTTTCTGATTAAAAATATGCTTGAAGGGGACATATGTAATACTTTCAACAATAAATATTTTAAAAAATAAAAATAAAAATATGCTTAAAATTAAATAAAAATATGCTTGAATTTCCAAAGCACTTTAATATTTGGAGCTTAGTTACATGGCAGTAAGAGTATGAAGTGGACAGCTTCTCCTATGAAGAATTTAGTGTTTCATTAAATAATGTTTCTTAGCTGCAAAATATTCCTAGAAATTCTTTAAAAAAAAAAAAAAAGCAAAATTTTAGGTTGTTTTTTATTCTTCCCATTCTGATGTTAGATGAAAAAGAGATGGAATACATAAATTTGGGGGTATTGGGATGAAATTTATGAAGACATCCCATCAAAAAAATAAAAGGAAATGTACCCTTGACTTTTAGAATTGACCTAAAGTTTTTCTTTTGCAGTAAAATGATTTGTGATGCATCTTGTTAGTTATTTCTCTCTAGTTCTGTTGCTGCTTATTACTAAGGGCTTGGCCTAATGCTTATCTTAAGTAAACTCATTTTTATTGTATTTGTGTCTGTTTTTATATGACCAGGTTGGATCACCTCCCTTGGAGAAGTTTAATAACTGGGGTGGGTCCCTGTCCCTGGGACACCCATTTGGAGCCACTGGCTGTCGGTTGGTCATGGCAGCTGCCAACAGATTACGGAAGGAAGGAGGCCAGTTTGGTTTGGTGGCTGCGTGTGCAGCTGGAGGACAGGTATGTCATAGAAGTCTGACAGGAGCTTCTAGAAAGTACTTTTCTTGAAAACCAAACAATCTCTCTAAGACTGTTTGATTGAGTTTATTTAGAAACATTCTTAGAACAATATTTCTGATGACAGGCCACCAGAAAAAAAAACAAGCTGGGAGAGGATATAGCTTTAATTTTGACAGTACCTTGGAAAGAAGATGTTATTTAAATTGAAGCTATTTTCCCTCCTAAAGTAATGTCTATATTTTTTTTTGCATAAAAGTAGTATGTGCTCATTATGATAATTATGGAAAATATAGAAAATATATAGAAAAAAATCAGATCATCTATCATTCCATCATCAGACATTCATTATTCACACTGTGTTATGTTTTCTTCTTTAATAATAAAATTTTATTTATCTAGTTATTTCTTTTTATGAGACTTATCTGTAAAATTTCTCCAAAGGTAAACTGTCTTTCTTGAGAACTGAACAATACCTTAATTGGAGAATTAATTTACTTCTGGATAACAATGCTATTTATCTGGAGGAAATATTATTCTACATGTTTTTTTTCTACCTGCTTTACTTATAGTACAGAGGCAACTTCCTATCTGATATACCATTTCACTCTGGGAATAAAATCCAAAAAGAAGGCTGCCTGTAATATTTTTTTTTTAAACATGATCAAAACAGATTTGCTTGTCCTTCAGATTACAGAAACTTCCTGTTGCTGATCAAGATGAAGAAATAAGATACATAAAAGTATACACTTTTTATATTCACAAGCCTTAGATATATAAAAGTATAAACTTTTTACATTTACAAGCCTTTATTTGTGGCTTTTCCTCAGAAGCTTTGAAGAATCAAAGGGTCAGTTATTTATAGGTTGGAACATTTTAGACTTCATGATAAAAAGCGTTTTGTAATCTGTGTAACTTTTTTACAGAAAGCCATGGTCGGTTAGGACCGAGCCCTCCCTCTTATCTTTCTGTGCCAGGCTTACCCGAGGAAGACAGCTAGTGCACAGCACTGTGTGCAGTGCATGGTCAAGTAGGCTAATGTCCTTTGGTCTTCAGTATTTGTCCCCTAACCTTTTATCTCACACATGGAGGGTGAATAACACAATACTAGATGCTGTTGTGGATGAACAGACCCTCTAGAAGTTTGCAGTATAATAAGGAGAAAGATGACTTAGGAACTAGGCTAAATTCGGTATTGTTTCATCCAGAGCAAATGAGGGAGAGAAGCATGATTCGATCAGAGGAGGAATCCAGCATTGTGAATCTAGAGCAGGGTTTCGGCTTTAGCAGTACGTAGAAACATTTTGGGCCAGATGACTCTTTGTTGTGGGAAGTATACTATATGTTGTAGGATCTTTAGCATGATCTCTACCCACTAGATACCAGTAGCAACACCCGCGCCCCCCCCGCCCCATATAGGTACACACAGTTGGGACAACCAGAAACATTCCAGACATTGCTAAATGTCCTCTGGGGAGGGTAAGGAGAAAACGCCTCCAGTCAAGAACCACTGATTTAGAGCAATCTGAAAGATGGGGAACATGAAACCAATGCATTTTAAATAAAGCTGGAGAAGGAAATTTCTGCCTTATCATGAGCCCAACAAGGGTAATCCCAACTAGTCAAATATTTCCATCCCCATTCCTTTTGTTTCCTTGTCCCTGTATCAAGGTACTTGGTTTGGTTTGGATTATAGTATGTAATAAATTGAGGACAGGCACCATGTAGCAAAGCTTTGTACCCACACAGAGTGGAGCTTAGAAACAATAGTTTCTTAATAAATATTGATGGGGATTGAACCAAGTAGCCCAGCAGTAGTTAGGCTATTAAATGGTTTGATTCAAGTCTGAAAAAATAGACTGGCCGTGATTATCAGATAGGGTTTAGACTCGTGAAATTTTAAGTTTCTGTGCATGGTTCCAACTAGGGAGGTAACTAATACACAGTACCATACATAGTGCTGGAGAAGGGATTTTCTACCTTCTTACCTTTGTGGGCTCTTCACCTGAGTAGGATAGAGAAGAGTTTTTGGCTTTGGATCCATCTAGAACTGGTTTCAAATCCTGGCCCTGTTATTTAATAGTGTTATAGATTTATTTATTTTTTAAAAAATATATTTTTACTTATTTCAGAGAGGAAGGGAGAGGAAGAGAGAGATGGAAACATCAAAGATGAGAGAGAATCATTGATTGGCTGCCTCCTGTACACACCCCCACTGGGGATCGAGCTTAAAACCTGGGCATATGCCATGGCTGGGAATCAAACCCTGACCTCCTGGTTCATAGGTTGACACTCAACCATTGGACCATGCCAGCCCGACAGTATTGTAGACTAGATGAGCAACTTAACCTTTCAAAGCCTCAGTTTTCTAATCTAGAAATGTACTGTTGTTGGCATTCATCCTATATAAAAAAGGGCTAATATGCAAATTATCCCCTCAGGAGTTGGACTGGCCAGGAGTTTGACCACCCACTATAACGTACACTGACCACCAGGGGCAGCATAGAATGAAGGAAGGCCCTGGCCAACAACCAGCAGCTGAGGGAAGGAAGGCCCTGCTTGTTCTTGATTGCTGGCCAGGCCTAGGGACCCTACCCATGCATGAATTTCATGCACTGGGCTTCTAGCTGTATCATGTTTGTTTTTATACAGCTAAAAAAGACCCCTGTGGCTTCTCATTTTAATGGCAATCACTTATGGAGTATCTAGTAGGAATTAGACTATACTAGACACCCAGCATTTGAATGGCAGAGCCAACCTCAAACTCCAACGCCTATACTTTCCCCATTGTTCTCTGCTACCTCTGTACTGGCTGGATGTATTGTTCATTTCTCTAACTGAACTTATTCTTCCTTCACAGGGCCATGCTATGATAGTGGAAACTTACCCAAAATAATAGATCAAGAAGCAGCGACCTGGAGTTTTTGTGCAACACTCAACAAGAGGCAATGCCATTTCAATGCATTACTAAATGACACCTATAGTTCCTAGCTCCTCTTAGGAAAACACAGTTTGTGGCCTTCTGTTAAGTGCTTTGCAATTAAGCCTTGCCAGTGCTCTGAGCTTCCAGTGATATGGCTTATACTCCTTCAGGGATTTCTTAATCACCAGACTCTCACACAGGATATATTTAAGCATTTGTTTTTGGGCCGTGTTTTCATTAAAGACTAAACAAGTGGTAATTTGGAAAAGAGTTCAGTAGAGATCTGGAATCATCTTGTAACATTTGCAAATTATACTCATTTCTATTCCTAAAGCTAAGTGTTTTCTATAAATTACCAATGTGCCTATATTGACTTAATTATGGAAAGACAATTCAGAATATAAACATGACTGAAAACTTACAGTGAATGTTTAGGTACTTTAAATACTATGTATATTAATCTTAATAAAATGGGGAGGTATTGGAGAACTATTTGCCTTATTTTTTTATTGAGAAAAATGTTGGTTTTCTTGGCTTAAGGGCAGATTTTTGCCCGATTCCTCATTTGTAACTTCTAACTATTTTAGTCAATCAGGAGGCTGTTAGGAACATAAAGAGCATTCTACTTTAGAATAATATCCCTCCTTTCCAATGCTGAATTGAAATAAATTTATTTCACTATTAGGAAATGCTTCTGTTTGCCAGGGTTTAAATGAAGTGTAAAGAAATTTAAAATTTTTTATCAACATCCTAAAAATCCTTTCAGTTTTTTGACAATCAAACTACACTAAATAACATGTATACTAGTGAAGGAACCAAAGTCTAAATTGCAACCTTTATGTGAATGTTGCTATGGTCTGAAAGTCACTGGCAATCAGAATCATCCTCTAGTGGAGGGATGGATTGGGCAAGGGAGTAAGCGCTAACTTCTTAAAAGAGCATTTGAGAGTTCCAGCATCATTCCCTCCATGATTTCATTGGTAATTTCAACATAATGTGAAGTTTTATTACTGAAAACCTTTATATTTACATACATAGTGCAAAAATCAACTACAAATAACTATAAAAAAAACGTATTAAAATTTAGAAGAAAATAACATTATAACCTTAGATTGGGATTTTTTTTTCTGTTTAAAACAATTTTGACCTCTTTTATTTTTTAAATTTATCTTCATTGTTAAAAGTATTAGTGGTATTTTCCCCATTGACCCCCTCAGTCCTCCCATCCCACCCCTGGAGGATTTCTTAAGACATTTAAGAGCTATCATAAAAGAGCTATAAATGTCAAAATGAAAACTTTCGTATTTTATATGATAGAATAGAAAGACAAGCCAGAAGTGGGGCAAAGATAATGATGTATCTTATGAAGGATGTATCTTGTGAAAGATACATCTCTATCATATGTACATGTCATATATGATAGAGATGTAATTTACAAAGGATACAGGATATATAGAGAATTTATTTATTTTATGGAACGCTTCATGAATGTATGCCATCCATGCTCAGGGGCTGGGCTAATCTCTATTGCTTTAATGTTAGTGTATGTGCTGCTGAAGCAAGCACTAGAAAGAATTCTTCTAATCAATAAGAAAGGTAACTCGGTAAAAAATGGCAAAAGATATTAAAAGACATTTTTTAGAAAATGTACAAATGGAGACTAAACATGAAAAGATGCTCATTGGTAATTTAGAAAAAACAAATTAAGATCATAATAAAATACCACTTTATGCCTATCAGACCGCAAATATGAGTAAGACCAAGAATACCAAGTTTTGGTGAGGATGTGGAATAATAGGAACTTTTATACACTGCTGGTGAGAATGCAGTTTGATACAGCACTTGGGAAAACAGTGTGGCACTGACTTGTATGTTTGACTATAACACACGGCCTGTAACCCAGCATTTTTACTCTTAGGTATATTTCCTACAGAACTTTGCACATGACTAGTAGCAGGAAATAGCAGCATTGATCTTTAATCACAAAATATTGTAAATTATGTTCATGGACGGGAAAGTTTCAAAAACAAGCAAAACTAAGTACATTTCTAGGGTTAATTCATAAAGAATTCCAAATATATGTAGACACCATGCTCAAGTAGGGAGCATGTTCCTTCCCACTTGAATGAGGGCTGGACTCAGTCAGTCAATTCCAGTGAATAGAGTGTGAAAAGGAAAACAAGTTACCCCACAGCTTAACCAAGTGCCCGGGTTAACATCAGCGCCGTCATGTGGCTGTCACATACCTCCTGGTGCAATCAAGGGGCCGCTTCACCTCAGTGGTATTCTCTCCAAATACCTCTAACCCAGTTGAATCATGAGAAAATATCTTGACTTTACTCAGAACGACCCAAGGTCATGAAAAGTAAGAAGGCTGAGAACGGGTCATACACCAGAGGAGGCTAAGAAGACATGACAACTAGATGTAAAGTGTCTTGGGCTGTATTCTGAACTAGAAAAAGGACATTAATGGAAAAGCTGATAAAATCTGAGTAAATTGAGTTAGTTAATAGCTGTTTTTTTAAAGCCTCACATGTATGGTCAAATTATTTTTTGACAAGACTGTTAAAACTAAAACAGTTGTCAGGTAGTCATGTTGGGAAAATTGTATAGCCACCTGCAAAAGAATAAAGTTGGACTCTTACCTTTCACCATATCCAAAAATTAGTTCAAAATGGATCAAAGACCTAAATGTAAGAGTTAAACTTATAAAACTCTTAAAAGAAAATGGGAAAAGCTACTTGATATCAGAATTGTTGGGTATGACATCAAAAACACAGGAAAGAGCAAGAAAATAAATTAAAAATTAAAAGTTGCATCAAAGGATGGAGTGAAAAGGCAATCTTTGGAATAGGAGAAAAAATCATATATTCAGTAAGGGATTAATATCCAGAATATATAAAGAAAACATACAATTTAACAACCTGAAAAACAACTCTTAAAATGGGCAAGGAATTTGAATAGACATTTCTTCTAAGAAGATAACTTTCTAGAAATGGAATTGCTACTAAATCTCACTTATCGTTACTTCTGGAGCCTTCTTTTCAGTCCTCTTTTTTTTTTTTTTTTTTTTTTTTTTTTTTTTACGGAGCGAGCCAAGTGAACAAAGACTTCATGTCATTTCATTTTTGGATTCTAAAGTGTTTTTATACTTTACAGCAAAGCATATATTGAGTATGTGCAATCATTTGAGAAGGAAAACGAAAACATTTCTACAAAGCATACTCAGAAAAGGAGTCTCTGCTGCTTTTAAAGTGTAATATTTGAATTATTTTTTAAAAAATCAAGACTGCAAACACTGATGAAGTGAGAGTGATATTGAGACATGTTACCCGGGAAACCAGCAAGGCAAGGTCTTTTCTGTTTCAGTGGCCGCCTGCCTCCCTGGGGGCTGAAACAAGACAGGCATAGAAACACCACAACTGTCCTTGTACATTTGGTACCTTCTATTGGAAGAATAATCAAACCTACTTAGGCCAGTTATACACAATTAAAACATTCACACACGCAAGCAAAATTCACACATAATGTTTATTAAAAATATGTTCAACAGCATGTGGTATTCATTTTTATTCCAACAGAAAATGTCTGTATTCCATTTTATAAAAATACTCATGAAATTTGTAATTTACACATTCAATTATCAACATTTTTTAATTTACCTAGTTTAACAATTTTTCCGAATCCTGTCATTACTGCTTGTGAATTCCATAATTTAATTCAGCTTGGTGTCTGCCAGAGGCTTTTCTGAAATCTTCTCTATGTCTAGTCTTAGCTTGATCCTGCCACTTTTAAATGTGTTTCATCTTGTCTTGATCTGTGATCTGTGGCAGTCAGGGATACCTCTCTCTCTACTTTAAAATTTCTGGTGCTTTCTTACAAATATGCCCATAATAGTGACTTTTTGTATACATGCGTATGTCTATGAAACTTAATTTTATATTGATATTTTTAAAAGCTAAAGAAGGAGGTCTCATTAACCTTCACTTTTCCTAAACTTTGAAAATAAGCAAACCAAGTTCTGCCCTTCACCTCTAATGTTTGGAAGATGAGAGTTCCTGTCGGTTAAGTCATCTTTTCTTCATAACTGTAGAGAAGAAATAATCAGACATCACTGATTCAAAACCATTTTTACCAACGAAATCTGTAACATATACAGTTGACTAGAGAAAAATGGGTTGAGACAGTTTTACTTGCAATTATTTTGAACTTAGATATCTTAATTATTTTTACAGCAAAGGCAGCTTTGTTCATTTGATAGCTTCCACTAGTTTTTCCTGCTATTCTTGCTTGGGCAGTGTAGGGGTGGGGACAGATGAGGGCAAGAGAAATGAGTGTGACTAATGGAAGCATAGCTGTCTTTTGGGAGGGCTGACTTCCGGGAGTGGGTAAGGGTGTAGGGCATTGGGCCAAGGCCATCCTGCTGGATTCAAGCACACACCGTGGGCTCCCTTGGCGGAACACGGGTTCTGTGTGTGGTCTCTCAAAGCTCTTGCCTTCCCCAAGAGATCGTACCCTGTTGCCAGGGGCTGGTGGGAGGAGACCTTGCTCCACTTTTGCAGATTGCCCTCCCTTCTAGACACCAAGCTCACCAATGGTAATTCCTTGAAAACAAGGATTTTTCAGGATAATTAAACATTCGATTGTGTGAAAAGAAATCTTCAGGGTGAACTGAGGCAAGGGTTGTTGGTGGTCAAACTCCCTGCAGCTTTCTGGGAGAGCAATAGGAGATGCTACAACTTCTGCTCTACGGCCTTCACCTTCCTAGCTCATCTAGAAATGTCTACCCTGGCCAAGTCTGTTCTCCACCTTTGGGCTGGAGCGGGTGTAGGGGGGAAGGCTTTCTGTCAAGAGCTTTGCCAGGAAGCTGCTCACTCCATTCCCAAGAACGCCTCATCCTCACCTGGCATTTTCGCTTCTCCTTTTGCTGGGTTCCGGGAGGTGGCTTTCATTTGTGGCCTAGGAAGGGGTAAAAAGGCTCAATTGCAGGGCGACAATTATGATCGTTGTCACTCCTTTAACAAAGTTGTGTCCATTTTCACATCCTCACCCGCCCTCCTGCCGGGACCAGGGTAATCCTAGGAACTTGGCTCTCAGCTACAGTGATGCCCACGCGTCCCCTTCTCATAGTGACGGGAGGCAGATTTTCAGCCGGAGAAGCCAGGGACGAGAGGGTCACCAGGCGTCCAGGTTGTGATCAGGGACTCCAGAACCTGACTTTTCTTTCAGGGCTGCTATCTGCCTTGTGGAGAACTTGAACCCGGAACAATGCTCATTCTAGAAAACAACCAGATCTTCTCGCAGCTCCTGGTTGTGCCCACCTCCTCTAGGAAAGCTGCAGAACACCTGCTCGGACCTGCGCTCCGGGGCGGGGCAGCGGCGGTGGCGGCGGCGGTGGTGATGGTGGTGGTTTGTGTGTGTGTGTGTGGAAGGGGTTGGGCGTTGTGGAGAGAGAATTAAAGATCTGAAGGCAGCAACTCACCAGGGAGATGGTGGAGTTGGGGGGGTGGGCACAGCCGAAGCGTTTGAGTAAAGCCTCTCGTACCTGCAGGAGAGAGAAATGCCTGGTTATGGCAGCCAAGGTCCCTGCCTTCGGACTGAGTCAGGCGGGGATTCGGTGGGCAGACTCACTTTCTTGTCCATCAGGCAACCAAACAGCAGAATGAAGACGCCCTGAAAAGAGGGATGTGGGGGTGAGTGAGTCGAGGAGGGAGAATCAACCCGTTCCTCTCCTCTCCGCGCCCCTCCCTCCTCCTGCCTATTTTGGTGCGGAGGCCCCGCCTCAGGTTTTGTCATGGGCATCATTGGTGTGAGGGCCTTCCGGTGCTTTTCTTACTGCGCACGGGGCAGAGAGGATGGGGTGCTGACAATTCCCCGACTTCTCCGGCAAAACCAGATATCACTTTACAGATAAGAAAACCGAAGCCCCGAGAGGTTTGTCCCAAGTTATCCAGCTGGGAGGAGCTGGCGCCCAAGCCTCCGCCTCCTAAAACTCCCAGCTATGCTTCTTCTGCCCCGTCACGATGCCACCTTGAGAAGGGAGTGGCAGTGGCTTAGAGCATCTCAGATGGCAGCCAGCACAGCCACCCACCTGGGAGCTGTTGAGAATGATGAAGAGGTAGTGAGGGACGATGGAGACTTGCTCGAGCAGAGTGGCCAGGCCCAGCCCCCAGGTGAGGCCGAAGATGGGTGTGAGGACGAGCAGGGCTTTGATCACCCCCAGCAGGGCTTGGCGCTTCTCTGCCTGGGGTCCCTCCGACAGCGAGGGTCTCAACAGCTTCAGCATGGCCATGGCGAGGACCAGCGCGTTCAGGCCCACGATGACCAGCACCGGCCCCACGAAGGTGTACAGCGCCCCTCCCTTCCCATCCAACCAGCACACCCCCTCCCCCAGGTACTGCCCTCGGGGTAGATAGTGGCCCAGGGCGGCACCTGCAAACCCCATCGGGCAAAGGTAGCCGAGAACCACCATCAGGGAGAGGACTCGGCGCTTGGACAGCTGATGGAAGACGAAAAGCAGCTGGTGGGCCAACATCAGGGCCTGAGCCAGCATCCAGAAAAAGGTGGCCAGGTAGAGGAAATGACAGAGGAAGGCAGCGGCCAGGCAGAGTGGGCTGCGGGGCCCTGGAGGAAGCAGGGGGCCTCCCAGGAAGCAGGTGTCCGCGGCCAGCAGGCAGAGCACCACGTTGAGCAGGGCTGCGTGGCGCAAGTAGGCAACTTTGTTCCGTACCACGACTCTCCACACCAGCCTGTACACGCCCAGACACACAAGCAGGGCCAGAATGGAGGCCCCCAAGCCCACCTGACTCAGCAGCTCCAGGGTAGGGTTTCTCGGAACAGTGTGTCGGGACATGAGGATGGAGAAGGCAGTGAGATGCCGACAGATGCAGTGATTGTGTCTTGGGGTCACCAAGGCGCTGGCATTGGCTGCCTTCACCTGGCACCCTTCACCTGACCAGCCCCCGCTGCCCTGGAAAAGATGGTGGTCCCAGAAGACACAGTGAAAGGGGTCATCTCTGTCCCCAAAGTCCATGATGACTTCTCCCCGGTTGAAGGCCTGGCCACCTGCCATGATGGAGATGGAGAGGACCAGCCCAGGAGTGGCGTAGATGGAGTCCCCCAGCTCTTGTCCGTAGTTTGAGGGCAGGAGGTGGTCCAGTTTTCGCAGCACCAGGCTAGTAATCGTGAAGTTACTATTGCTTGTAACCAGTGGGGCCAGGGAGCGTCTGGGAATCTTTGCCTGTAGCCGGGGCTGAGTGGAGAAGGAGACTCTGTAGTCAGCAGGAAGTGAGGGCGTGAGGAGCTGGGTCTGCAACTGCACATTGGGCAAGCTGAAGGAGAAGGGCTGATCCTGTGGGTACAGGCTGTGTGCCAGGGTCTCCACCGCCAGCAGGAGATCTGAGGCCGCCGAGGGCTTCTGGACCTGGGTCGGGGTCCACAGGGAACTGGCGTCCATGTCTAGGACCTTGTCTGTGGTTTTCAGGAGAGCCTGTGGCACCCAACAGAGAGATGAGGCCTCGCTGCTAGCACCCACAGCACTGAGTCAGGGCACCAGGAACTACAGACCCCCAAACCTACATTTCCTTGTTCACTGCAAGACCCAAGGTTGGAGAGAAAGGGGAGAAGACAGGCCTATGAGGGGAGAGTTTCTGTACAGGAAGAATGGGGGGCTGTTGAGATAACCACTGGGGTATCTTCAACATTGTGGTCTCCTGAAGCACATTCTATCCCTTCATCTGACAACCCTTCTTCCCCCTCCAACCCTTGGGGTCACCAAGGCTCTAAGGGGGCCCCTCTTCAATTTCTTGACCCCTACCGGTCTGTAAGCTAGGAATGTGGTAGAGGCACAATATTCTGAATCAGAGCCATGTGCATGTCTGTATACCAACATGTGACACATATACCCAGACACGAAGAGTGTGCAGTGTCATAACTTGTAGTTATTCTCTTGTCTGTGCCTTACGGGTCACCAATTGATACCTATGTTGAGAGCTGGCTTAGGGGAGTCCAGCAAAGCCAACTGCGTTCGTTTCTTCATGGAGGTACTTATGTGTGCACGTATGTGTGTATGGGGGATTCACAATCACATTCACATGTCTGCAGGTGAATGGAATGTACGCCTCTGAACTCATGTCTACACACCCCTTCCTACCCTCTCCCCACTTCCCAGGCGCTCCCAGCATCAGACCTTCTCCACCTCCCATGGCCTTAGAGACTGGCGTCCAAAGAGGAGAGATGGACCCCAGGAGCAGGCACTTGCAACTCTAGAAAGGTCTGTCATGTGACAGCCCATGATGATGTCAGAGGGACAGAGTGCCAGCGATGAAGAGCTTCTACCTCCTCCGCCCAGCTGGCTCCCGCTGCGGCTCAGAGAGCTTACCTCCAGGGCACTGCGGTGGAGCGGTGTTCCAGTGTCTGCCACCACCTTGGCCAGGGATGTCATGGTGCCCAGCAGTGCCAATAAGTCAGAGGGTGAGCTCACCACCTCTGTCTGCTCCAGCAGCTGCGCCAGGCTCTGTGGCACCTCTTCAGCAGGCCAGCCCTGGCCTGCCCACAGCAGCTGATCCAGACAGGACAGCAGGGGAGGGGTGGCAGTCCTCGGGACAAAGGGGCCACTTCCTCCCCCATCCCGTCCTTCCTCCCCGGTAGCCACACCCCTTCCCAGGGGACCAGGAAGGAGAGAGCGGAGTGAGCCATGTGGAAGGAGCTGCCACCAACGTTAGTGGGATGGACCCTTGATAGATTAAAGTTTGAGAATGGCACACTCCAGCCATGAGAGTCCTGGCCACCCTAAGCCCCCACACACCTACTTCCTGGCTCCGCTAGGGATCCAGTTCAGAGCAGCTGAACCACCTCTGGGCTGGCTCAGGAGGAGGGGTTCTAGAGCTGGGTCCTGAGTGAGGAAGGGGGGGTCCGTGGAGGCTAAGGCACGTGGGCAGCGGGGACGGAGGCTTTACCTGGGCTCTCCGAAGCAAGGCCAGGAGCCGTGTGTCTGTGCAGCTGCTGTGGATGGGCCCCCAGACCCCATCAGGCCCACAGGTCCTCTTCACCATGCCTGTCCTGTTCACAGGACAGGGGGCCTGAGCCACATGGCCAGCCTTGGTGACATTCCAGGCCACAACGGCGGAGTCCTTGGGGCAGGTGGTGTCTCCATCTGAAGAATGTTATCAGGGAGAGCTCAGCAACCGCAGTCTCGCCCAAGGCTCTCCTTGGGCAGAAGCCCTTGCAGGCTCTGGAACCCGGCCCCAAAATGCCACAGGGCCGCTCCCAGGACAAGCAGGGGAGAGGCCGACCAGCTGGACCTTAAGCCCCACATACCCTGGATGACGGTGACAAAGACGGGGACCCTGAGAGGAGTCAGTCCTGGGCTCTGCAGGTCACAAGTGTATGTCATGTCAGCTGCAGGGCAGTGCTGAGCGGCCAGCACAAGGCACCGGTCCCCTGGTGTGCTGAAGGAGGAGGCTGAGGGTGGGACAAGAGAGGGGAGCAGTCACAGGCCAGGGACAGACCCGAACCCAGCAGGCCCGGGTTTGTCGTTTCAGCCTTTCTAGCGGTTTCAGAAGTGGATTCAGCAAGGGAAGAGCAGAGTAGGACCAGGGCACCCAATTGCCCAAGACAGAGCTCGGATTCTGGTGAAGGACGCTCTGGGCATCTCTAATGTTGCCTGGAGACTGGGAGCCACAGTTTCCTCGTCTGTCAGATGAACTGTCATCCAGTGAACCTCACAGAGTGGACTGTGAGCGTGTAAGGAGGTTGTGTGGATAAGGGCATTTCGCAGTGGTGGTGGTTGTTGTATTGATAAAACTGGCATTGCTCTAGAGCCGAGATTCTCAACTGGTGTGCCGCAGGGATTTGAAAACATGCAGAACCTGACTATTTAATCAGGGGCGCTGACCTCTTTCTATTAGATGGTCAAATAAAAAAAATGACAACCACCAACACAATAGCCACCGGGTGTGAATGAATAAAAATAATACCTATTTTTAAAAAATCAGATCGGCAAAATATACCGTATATTTTTTTTGGTGTGCCATAGACTTTTAGGGACTAGTTTATGTGCCGTGGGGTGGAAAAGGTTGAAAATCACTGCTCTATCCGCAAACACAGTGTTGAACTTGGACCCAGAACTCCCAGGTGGAACTGCAGCCTCTGCTGCTGCTGAGGTGTAAAAGCAGCTGGCCTGCGGAGACCAGCTGCCCTCTCCCCTGCCTGCCCCTCCTCTCCCCGCCAGCCAGGGCCTTCCGTTAGTACCTTCGCTGCCCTCGGCAGGGCTCCAGGAAGCCGTGTAGCCCAGGGGCGTGTAGGGGATGCAGCAGCTCAGCTGAAAGCCAGGGGAGCTGGCACAGGAGATGGAGAGCTGGTCCGGAAGCGGAGCCACATCTGCCGCCTGCAGGGGCACCCTCGCCACCTGGTACAGCTCCCACCGGAATCCCTGGGCCTCGAAGCAGCACACGTACTCCCCTGCAGACACACACACCCCTGCTGTGGCTCCGGGCTCCGCTGGTCCCCCGCCTGCACCACAGAAGCTCTGCTGCTTCCCAAGCCACAACCTAGGGCTAGCTTCTGCTAACCACAGCAAGACAGACCCCTGCCCACAAAGGGATTCCTAGGAGGGAAGAAGTCTGGAGAAGAGGCTCCTGACCCTTTTTGATGAGCCGGTTGCCAAGAATTCTAAAGTGCACCTCCCTCCTTCCCTCCAGTAGCTGCCCTTCCTCCCCTTCCCTGCCATTTCTTTTCTTTTCTTCCTTCCTTCCTTCCTTCCTTCCTTCCTTCCTTCCTTCCTTCCTTCCTTCCTTCCTTCCATCCTTTCTTTCTTTCTTTCTTTTTTTAAAAAAATATATTTTATTGATTTTGTACAGAGAGGAGGAAAGAGAGATAGAGAGCTAGAAACATCGATGAGAGAGAGTCATCGATCAGCTGCCTCTTGCACATCCCCTACTGGGGATATGCCCACAACCAAGGTACATGCCCTTGACTGGAATCAAACCGGGGTCCCTTCAGTCCCCAAGCCGACGCTCTATCCATTGAGCCAAACCGGTTTTGGCCCCTTCCCTGCCATTTCAACAGCTGGAAGAAAAGCACTCCTCTGTTCTCAGTGAAAACCGAGACCCTGTTTTCTTCCTTTATAAATGTCCATGTCAACGGGCCTCTTCCCCATTATGCCCCAGAACGAATAAATGGAAAGATGGAAAGGGAGAAGAGGAGGAGAAAAAAGGAGAAGGAAGGAGGAGAGGGGGAGGAGGAGGTGGAGGGGAAGAGAGAGGAGGCGGGGAGAACAGGCTGGCTACCTTCCCACTCATGGGAGATGTTGCGGATGCTGAGGACAGCCTGGCCCTGGCTGGATGTCAGGGACACCTGTGCCCCGGGCTGCAGGGGGATGGGGCTGGGGCTCCCCGAGTGCCGCCGCAGGAACCAGCTCAGGTTGGTGGTCTCCTGGCTCGTGAGGAGGGTCAGGTTCAGCGTGTGGCCAGGCATCTGCAGCCAGGTGTTCAGGCTCAGGCTGCCGGGGGCTGCAGGGAGGCAGGAGACAGGGGTCTGTGGCGGGAGCTTGGGGGCTTAAGTGCAGCTAAGCTGTAACGCGTCTCCATCATCTCATTAATCCATTGTGTTGACAGTATTTCAGGTGTCTCCTATTTTCCCCCTTTTTGCCCGCCTCCACCCAACCCTGCCTCACCCAGGCCTTCCCCTTACGACTGTCTATGTCCACGGGTGATGCCTACATACACCTTTGGGTAAGCTCTTCCTGTCTGTCCCCTGACCCCATACTGGCTTCTCCATCTTCTGAAGCCCATCCCTCTTCTCTCCCTAACACCTAGCATTTTTTATTTTGCTTTGCTTTGCTGCCTGGAAGACCCCATCTGTCATTGGGAACCAATCAGGGAGCCTTGTTGGCCTATGACTTCCCCTCTCCCTTACTGGTTTGTCTCCAGAGCCCTGCTGCTCATCTGCCTCACCACTCAGGACCCAAGCTCGGGCCTCTGATCTGCTGTGATGGCTGGAACCTTCTCCCACCGGAGGGGCCGCCGGGCTTGGGCCAGCTGGCAGAAATGCAGAGCCAGAGAGGAAAAAACACAGAGAAAGTGTCTTTCACGTGGGCCCATTGCTTTTCACGTTCTCAACTCTCCTCACCAGGTGGCAGCAGCTGGCAGTACCCGGCTGCAGGAGGGCTGAAGACCAGACAGCCACAGGGCCGGTGGTTGTAGGCGGGCTGGCAAAGCTGGTGGCGGGAGCAGATGCTGGCATTCCACTGGTATCCAGACAGGCAGGCACAATAGGTAAACCCATCCGGCTTGACTTTACACTCTGCAACAGAGGGAAGGGGAGGGGAAGGGGGCAGGCTGACTGGGGAAACCAGCTCCACAGGATGCACACCTGCCTGATGCCTGAGAGGCTCTGGGGCTGGGTATCTGGAATAATCCCCAAGTGACAGGCCCCTCAGCCACACCCACCCACCTGGGACTGCCTCCTCAGCCAGGTTTCAAAGCCTCGGTGGTGGGGAAGAAGTCCAGGCCCACCACTGTCTGTGCCTTGGGGTCCCCATTTGGAAGATGGAACAGGAGGGGCAGGGTCTGTCTGGGGGAAGGTGAGGGAGAAGCTGGGCCGTGCAGACCCTCCAGGAAATAGGGAGCATTGAAGGCCAGCTGGCTGCGGGAGGGCGGGGCACCCACGCTCCCTTCACTCTGAGCCTCGCCCTGCAGGGGTGGCAGTGAGAGGCCGGAGGGAGGCCGTGACCTGCCCCTACCTGTCGTGAGGCTGAGGCCAGTGAGAGTTCTCGGGGAAAAGGGAGCGGAGGCTGGGGGCAGAGGCAGGGGCCTGGAGAGCGCTGCTGGCCAGCCCCCATCTGAGAAGACCAGCTGGACATAGACCGAGAGCAGGACTGATTCTGCAGGAGAAGGGGGGCGGCTGGAGAGGACAGGCAGCAAGGCCATGGGCCCGCTCCCCTCTGCACCCCACACGGAGCTGGTCTCTGCCAAGAACCCCGAGCAGATCACACTCCCACAGCCCGTCCAGCACAGTCGGGACTCGGGGGTATTGTCGCCTCATCTAGCTATGAAACATCTGTTTTAGGTAACCCTCCCCACACCCCCCGCTTAAAGATGAATGATTTTCTCCAGGCCTCCCAGCTAGAGGGGCGGCACAGAGACCCACCTGACCAGCTCAGACCCACTCTCCTCTCTTTGATCCCACTGGCCACCCTTCACGCCCTCTTCCCGGCCTCTCTCACCTCACTTCCTGCTCCCTCCCTTTTCCCCTCCCCCCTTCTCTATCCACTCACCACCTGCTCCACTCTCTTGGTCCAGCTGCTGCCCAGATTCCCCTCCCGCCTGGCTGGGTCCCTAGGACAGAGCAGAGAGGAGAGACTTCCTAGGAGAGGCTGACCCCTCTATGAGGGACACTTGCTTCTCCGAGTGGCTCAGGGGCCAGCCTGGCCAGTCTGGCAGGACACAGTCCCTTTGAAGGTCCTCTTCTTTTTCCTGGAATTAAGCGGAACATTGGGAGGAGAAAGCAGGCCGTTGTTGGCAGGAGGTGTGAGGGATGTAGCCCCACGGACCTGCCAGGGCCGGAACCCCGGAACCAGGCACACCCCAGAGAGTCAACATGCTTTGCTTAATTTTTCCCTGAGTTCACCTGCCCCTGGGCCTCGAGGCTAATTGAAATGGCTGGTTCTGGGGCTCCAGGGGGAGGGCTGGGCAGAGCTGGCTGGGCCCAGAGGCTTGGGCTCCCATTCCCTCCATAGGAATGGCCACGGGGGTGAGGAGAGGCAGCATATGCTCTTCCCTCAGTCTCTGGCTCCTGTAAATTATTCCTCACCAACTCCCGCTTTGCTCACAATTCTATATGTATGTGGATATCTACCTAAAAACAGATGTGGATGGAGACAGAGACAGAGACAGACCTGGGAGCAAACAAAGATGAAAAAGTACGAATCTAGACTCGGCCATCTTTCCCCCGTTCTCTCCTGTCCCTCTAGGCCAGTGGGTCCCAAATCTGGAAAGTTTTCCAGATTGTAAACTTGACTGGAACAGCCTTTATCCAAAGTGGGCAGGCATCAGCGGAGTCCACAGGGACTCAAACAAAGAAACAAAGCTATCCCCACACCCCAGAGCGTAAGACTGAAGTCCCAGAGGCCTGATAACCAGCCAGGTCTCCAGCCCTTTCCCCTCCACCTATCATTTCAGCCCCCACCTCACTGCCCCTCCCACCAGGGGTCCCCACTGTTGCCTCTGCAGACTTTCCCAGGGTCCTTAGCTCAGTCTTACTCACAGGTTGGGATGCTCGGGCCACGGGTGGCCCCACCAGGGGGAGAGTCATGGCCAGGAGTAGCACGGGGGCAGCCGAGCAGACCATGGCTCAGGGCAGCAGTCCTCAGGAGCCCTCCCTCTGCTGCACGATGCAAATTTCCTCTGAGAAGAGCTGGCCCCTCGGTGCGCAGATGGGAAGGGAGGGAAGAGTGGAAGGGCTGACTGTGTAGAGGAGGTGCTATGACCCGTGACTGAGACAAATGGGTGCCCAGGTCACTGGGTGGCCACCTGGAGCTGCCCATCCCCCCATGAGAGGAGTCTGTCCAGATTTCCCCTGGGGCCTGGGCCAAGGACTCGGTGAGCAGGAGAGGACTTAGGTGTCCTAGATTACAACCAGCAATGTATCTATAAGGCAAGTTGGTCATGTCTCCAAGGACCTGGGAGATCTGGGCAGTTCTGGAACTCCCAGGAAGCTGGATCATTGAGCACAGAGTCAAGGTTAGAAGAGACACACGTTAGAGTTGATAGTTATCCTCAAATAATTTCCAGATAGACTAGAAACTGAAATGTAACAAAAATCTGGAAAAACATGAGGAAAAAGTATCAAGTGATTTCACAAAATGATTTTGAGGTGAAGAAGCCTTTTCTGAACAAGACACAAAACCCAGAAGCCAGAATGGAAATACATTAGACTGCCTAACAAGATTTCCATTTGGGATGAAAAGGATGGAAAGGTAGAAAGGCAAAAGACATCAGATTTCTAGCATAATGATTACATAAGGGCTAATCTTATTTTTTAAAAAAATATATTTTATTGATTTTTTTACAGAGAGGAAGGGAGAGAGATAGAGAGCTAGAAACGTCAATGAGAAACACTGACCAGCTGCTTCTTGCACCCCCCCCCCCCCACCGGGGATGTGCCCGCAACCAACAAACATGCCCTTGACCGGAATTGAACCTGAGACCTTTCAGTTTGCAGACCGATGCTCTACCACTGAGCCAAACTGGTTTCAGCTAATAATATATATATATATATATATATATATTTTTTTTTAAAATATATTTTTATTGATTTTGTACAGAGAGGAAGGGAGAAAGATAGAGAGTTAGAAACATCGATGAGAGAGAGTCATCGATCAGCTGCCTCTTGCACACCCCCTACTGGGGATATGCCCGCAACCAAGGTACATGCCCTTGACCGGAATCGAACCTGGGACCCTTCAGTCCCCAAGCCGACGCTCTATCCATTGAGCCAAACCGGTCTCGGCTTATTTTTTTATTTTTCAATTACAGTTGTCACTCAATAGTATATTAGTTTCAGGTGTACAGCAGAGTGGTTAGGCATTTATGTAACTTACAAAGTGGTCTCCCTGATAAGTTTAGCACACACCTGGCACCACACATAGTACACTATATTCCTTATGCAGTACTTTACACCCATGTGTCTAGCTTTTAAAAGCCAATTTGTGCTTCTTAATCCCTTCACCGTTTTTACCCAGCCCCACGACTCCTCATCCCACCTGGCAACCTGTTCTCTGTATCTATGAGTCTGTTTCTGTTTCGTTTGTTTACTTTGTTTTTTAGATTCCACATATAAGATAAATCATATGGTATTTGTATTTCTCTGTCTGACTTACTTCACTTACCACAACAATCCTCTAGGTCAGTGTTTCCCAAATGTCTCCCACGATGAGAATCACCTGGTGGAGTTGTTAAAATACAGATTCCTGAATCCCAACTAAGAAGTGCTCTAAGACAGAGCACTAAGTTAAGTATACAATTCTATCTATATGTTCCCAAAAATTCTAGTTTAGCACTTCTTAGTTGGGATTCAGGAATCTGTATTTTAACAACTCCACCAGATGATTCTCATCATGGGAGAAGTTTGGGAAGCACTGCTCTAGGTCATTCATGTTGTTACAATAGTAAGATTTCATGCTTTTTCACAGCTGAGTAATATTCTTTTGTATATATGTACCACTTCTTCATCTAATCGTTCACTGATGGACACTTAGGTTGCTTCCATATCTTGGCTATTGTAAATAATGCTGTGATGAACAAAGGGATATATATATATATATATATATATATATATATATATATATATATATATTCATATGAATTAGTGTTTTGGAATTCTTCTGATAAATACCCAGAAGTGAAATTGCTGAGTTATAAGGTAGTTCTATTTTTTAAGTTTTTGAGGAACCTCGATAGTGTTTACCTCAGTAGCTCTACCAATTTGTAATTCCACTAACCGTGCATGAGGGCTCCCTTTTCTCCACATCCTCACCGACGCTTGTTTGTTGATTTATTGAAGGTAGGCATTTTGACAGCTGAGGCACTATTTCATTGTGGCTTTAATTTATAGTTCTCTTATGATTAGAGATGTTGAGAATGTTTTAATATGTCTGTTGGCCATTTATATGTCCTCTTCAGAGATGTGTCTATTCAGTTCCTCTGCCCACTTCTTAATTGGATTGTTTGTTTTGGTGTTAAGTTGTATAAATTCTTTATATATTTTAGATATTAACCTCTTATCAGATGTATCACTGGTGACTATTTTCTCCTATTCAGTAGGTTGTCTTTTTGTTTTGTTCATGGATTCCTTTGCTGTGCAAAAAGTTTTTAGTTTGATGTAGTCTCATTTGTTTTTCTCTTGTTTCGTTTCAAAGGGCTAAACTTCTGTCTTCCTGGTGTGTAATTTTTATTTTACACAACGGAAAGACAGAAAATAAGTAAAAAATGGGAACAGTCAATTTACTGGAAAAGAAGTATAAATAGTTTGATAAACATATAAAACAACCAACTTAAGATACAAAAATGTAGCCCTAGCCAGTTTGGTTCAGTGGATAGAGTGTTGGCCTATAGACTAAAATGTCCCAGATTTGATTCCAGTCAAGAGCATATGTCTGGGTTGGGGGCTTAATCCCCAGTAGGGGCATATAGAAGGCAGCCAATCAATGATTCTCTATCATCATTGATGTTTCTATCTCTTTCTCCCTGAAATCAATAAAAATCTTACCTAATAACAGACAAACATGTAAATTGACCATACCTCTGCTACGCCCACAGCCAATCAGAGTACACAAATTAACACAACAAAGATGGTGATTTAATTTGCATATGCTGGGAGGGGCAGGACACCTGCTATGAGGTGGAGGGGGCGTGGCTAAGGGAGCTACAGGAGTGGTGCTCCAAATAGAAGCCACGACTTTGCTGATCCTGCATGGCTGGGAGTGAAGCTAGGGGAAGGCAGGCCTATTCTTGCACAAATATCAAGTGCAACGGGCCTCTAGTATATTATAAAAAAAAGATATAAAAAAGCAAATAATGAGAAAATATTGTCAGCTACCAATTATCAAAAGACAAGATATTGATTATATTCAGTGTTGACAAAAATGTACTTGCACATAAGCACAAAAATGTGTATAAGGATGTTCAAGGCAGAGTTGTTTGTGGAAGCAAATGAGTTATCTCCATTTCAAAGGGATAGGTTAAGTAAATATGAAATTTTCAAACAGAGAACATTGGGGGAAGTAGGTGTAAGAGGCCTTATGTAATATTTGTATTAAATGAATGAAACCCATCAAGATATTAACAGTGGTTGTAACTAAATGGTAGGATTTATATCTTTTTCTACTTTTCTGTGTTTTTCAATTTTGTGTTCCATAATGGCAAAAATCTTTTTTTTTTTAAATATATTTTATTGATTTTACACAGAGAGGAACTGAGAGGGACAGAGAGTTAGAAACGTTGATGAGAGAGAAACATCGACCAGCTGCCTCTTGCACATCCCTCACTGGGGATGTGCCCACAACCAAGGCACGTGCCCTTGACTGGAATCGAACCTGGGACCTTTCAGTCCACAGTCTGACGCTCTATCCACTGAGCCAAACCAGTTTCGGCAATAATGGCGAAAATCTTAATAAAAATATCAGATTTTACAGTCTCAATTTCTTTCTCATACACCGACCAAGTTCAGAGTCCTTCAGTTATGTCCAGGTGTCACCAGTTGTCAGCAAGTACCCACAGGGATGAATCACGGCTTAGACCTAGGGTGGGGTTCAGACACAGGTATTTATTGCTGCCACTTACCTACTCCCAAGTCTATGCTCAACCGTAAGGTTACTGACCTTTGTCTTTCTACATACAGATATTTGGAAACCAATAATTTTTTCCCCTCTGCTGACAGCTTCTCTGAGCTCTGAGTTGCATCCTGGTCAAAGGAAGTCCCCTTTCTATTCTTTGCTTTGATCCCCAGGCCACGTCAGCCACGTCATTTGATAACAAAGTACTGCAATCCAGGCTTATCTGTATCTGAACAAGTTATCTTAAAGCTTCCTTTACTATGTAAACTATTAACAGGCTACTAACTAGTAAAAGTTGCTTAGACCTTTATCCCATATGAATCCTAACTTCTTATTTATTGCATTAAGTAATTAGAATATTAAATGATAGGTTGTTAGAGTGAGAAGGGACCTTAGCTGAGATATCATCTACTTCAACTCAAACTTTACAGAAAAGGAAAAGTAGTCAAGAGGGGAAACTGGTCAAATATCACACAGCTAGTAAATGGCAGGACTAAAAGACTTTGAGTCTAAGGAATCTAGATGGAGGGAATTAATAGAAAATTCTGGCTACAAAATGGAATAAAAAATAATAGAAGATAGAATTTGATTCTCAAGGAAGGCAGTACTTCAAAAAAGCTTTATGGAAAGTCACCTCATGAATACCTTACTTACCTAGAAGTCCTTTCTTCAGCAAATGGACCATTTGGAACTCAGCTGAGATCTACAAGGAACCAAAGGCCATAGGAATATTATATTGAAGGGTATAGCTGGATCCATCAGGCAAGAAAAAGAACTAAAAGGCATCCATATTGGAAAATAAAAGTAAAATTATCTTTAATCACAGATAACATGATCTTATATTTAGAACATCCCAAGGATGTCCACCCAAAAAACTATTAGTAGTACTAATTAAAGTTCAACAAAATTACAAGGATATAAGAGCAATAGGTAAAAGATCATATTGTATTTGTGAAAATTAATAAATAAAAATTTAAAAAGTCAGGGAAATGGAACAGACTGACGATTCTTAGAA